CAACCTGTTTTTTTACTAATCAAGTATTTGCTATAATTGGAGGCAAACCAACTGCACAAGGAAACACACCCACGCATCTATGCAGTAATGACATTAANATGCAGCACTTCCTGTCTTGTCAGGATGAAAACAGGAACATGAAACAGAAACTGTCTCCATGCTCTCCAAAACAAATACTAAGTTTGATGTTAGCTCGACAGTCGAGCCACCTTCCAGGATTGACCTAAATGCTCCTAAAAGCATCATCACATCGTTTGTTTTCCATCCTTTATTGGTTTACAAGAGTTCCCTCAAAGCCGTCTTCATGCAGTTTTGTTCGTACAGCTTTTATGCAGCAGAAATTTAGACTTGTCAAAGCAGTAAAAGCCCGTTGCAGCTGATAACATTAATCACGGCTGTGTTGTAGCAGCTCTGTGACCCTCGAGATACGGATACTTGCTCACAGATGTAACTACTGGGACACTTAAATGGACCTGAGCCATCATTAATCATCAAATATTAATTACACCTGCAATGCTCTTGCAATGACATATCAAATGTCGAGCGCTCTATTGTCCGCTCCTCCTGAACGTCCTGGCTGGCAGGACGGGTGCACAAACGCGGGGCTTTGATAAACAGCAATGACTACGAAGGACAAATCGCTCCTTTTTCCATGTATTTGTTGTACATGGCTCCTCGCTTGCTTCATGTCAGCCTCCGTGTTTGTCTGCAGTGCTGATTTCACCGGTGTTGCAGCACACAGGGTTGTATACGATCGCTTGGACACACGTCTGATGGTCAGCACATTCCAGGATTTACAGTTTCAAGCAGCAGCTACAAACCACAAGGAGGCTCAAACATAGGTCCAGTATGTGTGCAGTGTATCACATATTATTTCCATGTAAACACCTCAGTGAAGATGAGAAATTCAGGTTCACTGTGCCCAAGAGACAGCTAATGTTTTCTGTCAGTGTCACAGTTACTTGAGGTTGGATCGTCTTGATTGCAGTTTTCATTGATTGATGGATTTTTATTAGATTATCTCGCAGAACAAGTATCTAGTAGATTTCGGTTCATGACGTTCTATCAGTCTTCTCTTGTCCCCATCTGTCATCTGCTTTCTGTGCACTCTGCAAAATTACTCTGTGAATCCCTGTATTTCCTTTTTGTTTTTTTAATTTCCTCTTAACTAGCAACAGATTTTTGCTTTTTATCTCAACACCCAAGCTGACAAAAAAGGCAAATGTCCCACAAATGCTGCACTAGTTCTGTTTGATGTCATGTTAAACTTTCTAAAACCGGGTTCTTGGGTATAAATATTGAGTTTCATGTAAGTTTCAGTGAGACTAATAATCTGTCAAATGTCGAGGCTGCTTGGTGGGAGTTGTGAGATTTTCAAAATACAAGAAAGAACAAGGATTTTAAGAAATACGAGTTGCATTTCTTAAATCTGACAAACGAACACGAAGCGCTCTCAGTCTGCTGTATACGTTTCCCATTTGACCCATTTAGCTGAATGCAGCGCCGCCAGAATCCTGTGCGTTTGTGTGAATGTGTGTGTGTGTGTGTGTGTGTGTGTGTGTGTGTGTGTGTGTGTGTGTGTGTGTGTGTGAGGTAGTATTTGGCAGGCAGAGAGTGTAGAAGTGGAGAAAGAATCTCATGGAGGAAGCTGGTTTGGTGCCAGGCTGCTGAGGAGGAGCTACAAACAAGGATTCACTCTGTTTCTGA